AAAAGCAATGCAAGCCGCAATTCCTGAATCAGCACCTGCGCCACTTACACCACAAGGAGAATCTGCACTGGTGTCATCCATGAGGCGCACCTCCTGCCTTCGCCACAACCATGATACGGTTGACTGCTACATTCTGCAGCGCCACCTGCAAAATGGTCAGGTCAAAGCTGGAACAGTGCTACCCGCCAATTTCAAGCTGAAACCTCCGCAGAACTCCCAACGCTCCCATCCCTACAAGGGCAACAACAGCAACAATGGAAAAGGTGGAAACCAGTCTCGATAAAACAACAACAGTCAGAAGAAGGGTTCTCAAAATGGACAATGTGGTGGAAATAACAACAACCAGGGGCGCAACAAGTTCCATGGCCGTCGCATCCAGAGCAACGACGAAGATTCCGACGAATATGGTGTCGATGCCATCACCACGCTTGATCTACGGCCAATTATAGAAGCCACGAGCCTTACGGCTGAAGAGAATGCTCAAGACCCAATGTGGACAGTTGACTCTGGCTGTACCCGTCAAGTGAGCTCAAACCCCACGTGGTTCGAAGAGCTGACTCCGCGTACCGGCAAGGCCATCACTGTTGGTGGTAATCACCAAATTCCCATTAAAGGAACGGGATCCGTGAAGATACGTATTAAGAACACCAAGGGAAAAGACCAACGGTCACTCTGCATCATGTCCGCTATGCCCCAGAACTGCAGTACACCTTGCTCTCCATCCGTCAAGCCGTCGGAGATCTGTTCAAGATCACCTTCCGCAACGCCAAGAAATGCGTTCTCTTCTTCGCCCATCGAATCAAGTTCGAAGCGGAAACTGGACAAGACACTCGACTCGACCAGTTCGAAGCTCGCCCGGCAGACACCGAACAAGCCCACTCGGCTACTTCAGGTAAGTCTGACAACATTATGCTCTAGCACAAACGTATGGGTCATCCTAACTTTCGCATTATTCAGGATCAGGCGAAAACTGAGCACGTCAAGGACATGGTACTGTCGAAATTCGACCCAAAGCAAGACTAGTTTTGCTCCTCAATGTGACGGGGTACCGTCACACAGTCGCCGTGGCGCACGGCGACCAATTAGAGTAGGTCTTATTTTGTTGGTTCACGGCGCCCGAGTCGGGCGCCACACAGATTAAATAAGACAGAGTTATATTTCCCCACAAGCACGCACCGCCCGTTACGTCTGGTAGCACTTCGTAGTCCGCCCACGCGACCATGAACGTGAACGACGCTTCCAATTTTAACGAAGGGTCCGTTGCTGCCCTTGAGCACGCCAGCTTCCCCCCACTTATCCGTGTTTGAGTGGGAAGCGCTACACCGCCTCGCCGCGGTGTCCGGAGAAGGAGTCATCAAGACATTGCTGATTGCCGGTACGGAGACTGACCAACTCCTGGCTGCTCATGAGTTCATGGCGCGTGAGCTCGCTGACCTGCGTCGGCGTGCGACAACTCCCACGCCGACCACGAACAAGACCGACATCGTGAAACTCGATGTCTCCAGCTACAGTGGCGACGGAGACGCTCGACTCCAGTTGAACCGCTGGTTCTGTGAGATCGACATCGCGATCGAAGCTCG